CCACCTTAGGTGTATGTGGCTGGCGCCTTAGCCACTTGAGCCATAGGCGCCAAGCCGAAACAATTTTATAAACATGTATTTATATTTTTTTTCAAATTCTACTAAGGAGTATGTAAGTATATATTGATGTATGATGGTATTTTCCACAGAGAAACTTACAGTAAACTTCCTTTTTAAACCAGCAGGCTGACATCCAAGAGACCGGCCAGAGGGCATAAATCTCCTTGAACTTAATTCTGGTGCTTCTTTAATGACATCCTTTTTAATAGGGAGACGTCCAGCGACTTTAATCTCCTCAACTGAGATTAAGTATCGATCCCCTTCTAAGTCATCTCCAGGTTTCACCTAAATTTTAAAGAATAAATGTCAAAAATCACGTACATCTAATTATTTGATTATCTGTTTTCTAGTATGCTCATTAGCACTGAGCAAGACATAATGGGTGTCCAGTAGTTGTTGAATGAATGAATCAGTGACTAAACATTTCGATTATTTACTATTATGCACTAGTTTGCTGCCAACAAGCACAAAAAAAAGATAATAATACAATAAAAAAAATTGTTCATTCAACAACACATATCAGGGGATCTATATGAGGCCTCTTTTTACATGCTGAAGATACAAAGACAAGAAAAAAAATGCTTCCTCTCGAAGAATTCACTTAGAATCCATACAACTAAATGTAATATTTTGAAAATTAGAGCTATTATCAATTACATATCTTTAAACAAATATGAGTAATAATTATCACTTATTAAATACTACTATAAATTATCACAGTTGCTTAATCATGTTCCAAAATGCATTTTAATCACTTTAATGAACAAATAGCACTTGCCGCCACCTCTAACTACAGCATAAAATTATCAACCTACCTTGAAAATACACATATGGGGCTAAGGTGCCAGCCACATACACCAGAGCTGGCAGGTTCAAATCCAGCCCAGGCCTGCCAACCAACAATGACAAATGTAACCAAAAAATAGCCAGGCATTATGGCAGGCACATGTGGTTCCAGCCACTTAAGAAGCTGAGGCAAGAGAATTGCTTAAGCCCAGGAGTTGGAGGTTGCTGTGAGCTGTGATGCCCTAGCACTCTACCCAGGGCAACAGCAAAGAAAATACACATAAGCTATGTTAGACTAATAGTTAACAAATGGAAGGATTTAAGATGAAATAGTAACAGTGGTTACCACCAACTATCTACTGAGATAGAGATTCTCCTAGACCCTCTTTTGGCCATAACCACTTTCTACCTTTTTTTTTTTTTTTTTTTTGAGATAGGTGTTTGCTCTGTCATGTAGACTAGAGGACAGTAAGATGACCATAGCTCACTGCAACCTTCAACTCCTGGGCTCAAGTAAGTAATCTTCCTTCCTTGGCTTCCCAAGTAGCTGGGACTATAGGACCAGACCACCACACCTGGATAATTTTTCTAACTTTTGTGGAGGCAAAAGTTTCACTCTTTCTCACACTAGTGTTGAACTCCTAGCCTTAAGCAATCCTCCTACTATGGCCTCCCAAAGTGCTAGGATTAAGTTGTAAGCTACTGGGTTCAGCCCCATAGCCCCATTAAGGTCACATAAAATTTCAAAATGAGTTAAATACCATGGCCAAAAATTACCATAACAATGAGAATATGCATTTTAACACATTTAGAATCATTATACTAAGTTGTTGGGAACTTTATGAGTTATTTCTAATCTTCAGACCACCCCATAAAGTCTGTCTATGATCTACATTTTACAGTAAAGAAGTTAGACACAGAGAATAGTTAGAAAGTATTTGGAAATGGGAAATGAACCCAAAAAGATCAACTCTAATATCCTATTCCTTATACTAAAATATGCCTCTAGTTCCCTAACTTTCCTTTTTCCTTTTTAGAGGAAAAAATACCGACTAAATGCTAGTATTTGAGAAAATACTTAAATGGGAATATTTCACAAAACATTTCTCACTTTGGATCTCTGCCCTTCAAAAGACTATGTAGTAGTCCGTTGGGTTTAAATCCCAGCCCCAGCACTGTAACTCCATGAATATGGGCACGTTACTTAGCCTTTCTGTACCACACTCCTAATCTATAAAAATCACAGTATTGCTGTAAAGAATTTTTTTTTTTTTTTGAGACAGAGTCTCAAGCTATCACCCTGGGTACAGTGTTGTGGTGTCACAGCTCACAGCAACTTCAAACTCTTGGGCTTAAGCAATTCTCTTGCCTCAGCCTCCCAAGTAGCTGGGACTACAGGTGCCCACCACAACACCTGGCTATTTTTTGTTGTTGTTGCAGTTGTCATTTTGTTTTAGCTGGCCCAGGCCAGGTTCGATTCCACTGGCCTCAGTGTATGTGGCCAGCACCCTATCCACTGAACTCCAGGCACCGCCTATTGTAAAGATTAAATGAAACAATATCAAAAAGCTTATAGCACACACCTGAAATAAAAAAAGCTTGTAGCACAAAGTCTAGTTATAATAAATGTTCAACAAATGCTAGCCATAACTGTAAGCACCATGACTACACAATTTAGCAACATTTATAAAAGAAATACTTAAAGATATTTTTAAAGAATAACTTAAAAATAAGACAAACACACTAAAATACCTCAAGGCACTTAAGAAATATACTCTCCAAGCATGATCCTTTGTCATCATACAAAATGGCCTGTATTAAAAAAGAAATAAATGTTAAAAAGAAACAGAACATAACTCTGCTTTTCTTAAACATCTTTAATGGCAAATCAGAAACTCTAAAGTCAGTCATGTTACAAAGGGATTACCTACTTTGTTTAACTTGGATTTGAAAGCACCTCTATTTTGAATGTTTATTATGCATCTACTCAATCTGTGTAAGAGTGAAGACATACACATGTGAGAAATTCAAGACCAAGCACAGTGGCTCACACCTGTAATCTTAGCATTCTGGGAGGCTGAGGTGGAAGGATCACTTGAGCTCAGGAGTTCGAGACCACCATGAGCAAGAATGAGACCTTGTCTCTACTAAAACCAGAAAAACTAGCTGGGTGTTGTGGCAGGTGCCTGTAGTCCCAGCTACTTGGGAAATCAAGGCAAGATTATCCTTGAGCCCAGGAGTTTGAGGTTGCTGTGCTCTAGGCTGATGCCATGGAACTCTAAACTGGGCAACAGAGAGTGAGACTCTGCCTCCAAAAAAAAAAAAAAAAAAAAAGACAGAGTTATTCACAAAGTATTATACATTATATAATTGCATTCATGTGTAATATCCAGAAACAGGAAACTCTAACAAGTCAGTAGGTAGATGTATACAGGCTTATGGCTGAAAGCTGAATACTTAGTGACTGCTAATAAGTATAAGATGAATTTTTGGGGTAACAAAACGTACTAAATTTAAATTGTGTGGATGGATGCAAAACTCTATGAATCACTGAATGGGTACTAAAAATCACTCAATGGGTAAAATGAAAAGCGTGAATTGTATCTCAATAAAGCTAATAAAAAATTGGCATTTCCAAGTGCTCTGTTCTTGTTCTATTCTTTTCATTCTATACTCCTTCTCTGAACACTATCATCCATATAAATCAGATCATGCTAAGCTTCTGCTTAAATCATTTCAGTGCCTCCACAGCTCCCTAAGGATAAGAACAAAGTTCTCACGATAGCCAAGAAGGCTTACACGGTCCCCTTTATCTTCATTCTCACTCTTGCTTGCTTTAGTCCAACTATACTGATTGCTAGTTACTGTAACCTTATTAAATGTCATACACATTTATTTAATTTACTAATCTGTCTCCTCCATGTTATTTCCTCCATGTTATTTCATGTCAGGTATTTATCTGTTTTGTATCCTGCTGTAGGAGATCAGACAATTAAGTTTGTGAACTCATCCTAGAAAAAGTGCTACATACCTCATTGCAGAATATCACTATGGTCACCAGATGGCCAACAGTACTTCAAAGGTGCCTATAGTGGTATTCAGCAATGAGATATGTACATTTTCGAGGATGACTTCACAAACTTAATTATCCAAACCTGTATATCCTAAAATAGAATATAACTCATAATGGGCCAAAAAATTATTGTCAAAAAAATGAATCCACTCCAAATAAGTACCATCTAAATGCCAAGGAACTCTGATCCATACTGGTAGCACCAAACTCTTTCCTAAACTCTACGTCCTTACAGCTGATTACTTGAGTTTTTCTATGATATTTCTCTCAAATCTTGGCTTGGCGCCTATAGCTCAGTGGCTAGGGTGCTGCCCACATACACTGGGGCTGGTGGGCTCGAACCCAGCCTGGACCTGCCAAACAATAATGACAACCACAAGAAAAAAATTGCCGGGCATTGTGGTGGGTGCCTGTAGTCCCAGCTACTTGAAAGGCTGAGGCAAAAGAATTGCTTAAGCCCAAGAGTTTGAGGTTTTTGTGAGTTATGACACCATGGCACTACTGAGGGCAACATAGTGCGACTCCGTCCCCCCAAAAAAATAAAAATAAAAAGTTATATTTCTCTCAAATCTGGTAAATTAAAAATGAAACTCAGAACTTTGTTACCAAAAACTTATTTTTTTTTTTGAGATAGCTCATTTTGGTACCATAATCAAAATGTAGAAACCAAAAGTGCTTCTGGATTCTTCTCTCACATTCTATATCCAAGATCGGAAGATGCTATAATATCTTCAAAATTTCTCTTTAACCATCCCTTTTCTCCATTGCTATTGTTAATGTCTGCTTGGTCAGACCTCCATCATATTTTATCTAGAAGTTCTACAGCCTCTTTATTACAACAGTTTTCCTAAATCCAATCTGACTTTCACGCTACATAACATTCTTATTGTTGGAAAGTGATCTTTCTAAATATAAATATGACTGTCACTCTTCTGCTTATAATCCTCACTGGCTCCTCAGGCTGAGCCCACAAAGTCCTTCCTCATATAGTTCCTGTCTATCTCTTTAGCTTTATGTTGTATCATTTCCCAATAGGAACCCTCATTCCAGCCATATATAATTGCTTATAATTCCCCATGTTTCACACTGTTTCCTACATTCATGCTGTTATGACTATTGACAATATCTTTAGCTCCTTTCCCCCCAACTTATCAATTTTATTAACAAAAGAAAACAAAAAAAATGTTTCATCTAAAAAAGACTTCTCTGAAACAGAATCAAACTTCGATATCTCTCCCATGTAAACTCATGGAACCCTAAATATATATATTGTAATCCTAGTCAAAAGTTAGATAAAAGTCCTTTGAATAGAACTAAGAACTATAATAATGTTATCATTTGTTGTTTAATTTACTAATCTGTAAATTTACTAAACTCATGGAACCCTAAATATATATATATATAGTAATCCTAGTCAAAAGTTAGATAAAACTCCCTTGACTAGTCCCTAAGAACTATAATAATGTTATTTGTTGTTTACTTAGGATGTGGCAGGTACTTCCTTAAGGGCTTTATATTTTGCTCATTTAATCCTTAAACAACTTTACTGAGTATCATTTCTCCCATTTTACAAAGATGAAACTAGAGGCATTGCGAGGCTAACATCTTGCCCAAGATTACACATCTAGTACATGAAGAGCCAGTATTAAACTAAGGTCTATTTGATATTTGATGTTACTGCTTTTCGAGCACTTCTATACTGCCTCCACGTGTCTGATTTGCTTTTTTCCACTGCCAGCCAGCAATGTATGTTTGTTGACTGATAATTACTGGAAGATGAATAACTTCAACAATTAGAATTTGAAAGATACAGAAATGGCATTACTAGCAACAGTATAAGCAATAGCTTGGATTTGGAAATGAGGGTGTAATTTAGGATACAACCTATCCTAAAACTCACAATGTAACTTAATTGTTTGTAACTTCATATTAATCTGAGGTTGTATAACAACCATATATTGCTGGCTGGCAGTGGATAAAGTCAAATAAGACATGTGGAGGTAGTATAGATGCACTAGAAGTGAGATGATTAACTTTCCTGTGTTACAGACAATTTCTAAGACTAACTTCAATTAATCTTGTTTTCCTATAGCCTACCTGTATGCAATGTATAATTGCATTCAGCAAATGTATGCTAGATTTGAAAGTGAAGTTGGATAATAGCATTAGCATGACCATAATTATAATTTGAAACCAGAAGAAGACATGAAGGATATATAGAATCCAACCAGATGTCTTTTAAATATCTGTAAGATTCTGAAGACATTGGTGCTAAAAAAAGTAGGCAGAATGTAAAACAAAAATTATCCAGAATAACATCAGACTGTAATGAATCAATTAGCTTAAGATAAATAATAAAAAATATATATATGGATGTAGACAGTCCTAGACATTCCATCTGTTCAAACCAGAAGAATTACATAATAACAAGACTTGAACTCAGAGACATCAACTATAACACTAATTTCCTTTTTTTTTTTTTTTTTTTGCAGTTTTTGGCCGGGGCTGGGTTTGAACCCCACCTTTGGTATATGGGGCTAGTGCCCTACCCCTTTGAGCCACAGGCACCGCCCCTTCACCACCAATCTCCTTTAAAGGGCATAGATCCTGTTGTTACAACTAAACATAAGGCTCAACATGTCCCCTGACTGTGCAGGTAGAATTTTCTTGATCATCTAGAGCCTAGATTTCAAATACCAGCCAAAATCTTTTTTTTTTTTTTGAGACAGTCTCATTATGTTGCCCTCGGTAGAGTGCTGTGGCATCATAGCTCACAGCAACCTCAAACTCTTGGGCTTAAGCGATTCTCTTGCCTCAACCTCCCAAATAGTTGGGACTTCAGGTGCCCGCCACAACATCCAGCTATTTTTAGAGACAGGATCTTGCTCTTGCTCAGGCTGGTCTTGAACCTGTGAGCTCAGGGCAATTCACCTGCCGTGGCCTCCCAGAGGGCTAGGATTACAGGTATTAGCCACCAGGCCCGGCCCTCTAAAATCTTATCAGCAACTTCAGTTCACTGACATATTAACTCCAATTTACTTGAGAGTGTAGCAATTTTTTTGTTTGTTGTTTGTTTGAACCCACCACCTCCATATATGGGGCACCCTACTCCTTTAAGCCAAAGGCGCTGCCTGAGTAACAATTTTTTTTACTCAATGGGAAAAGTATCTTTTAACTTTTGGAACATTTAGAAGTGGATATAGTGATAATGAAGTAATTCAAGCCAAAACTATCAATACTTTTGAATAGATTTTACTAATTAGGCAATCTGATATTAGATAATCTCATATTTAAAGTATTTATGCTATTTTTATTACACAAAACTTTTTTTTTTTTTTGGAGACAGAGCCACAAGCTGTCTGTGGGTAGAGTGCTATAGCATCACAGCTCACAGCAACCTCCAACTCCTAGGTTCAAGCGATTCTCCTGCCTCTGCCTCCCAAGTAGCTGGGACTGTAGGTGCCCACCACAATGCCCAGCTATTTTTTTTTTTTGGTTGTAGCCATCATTGTTGTTTGGCTGGCCCAGGCTGGATTTGAACCCACTAGCTCAGGTGTATGTGGCTGGCACCCTAGCTGCTTGAGGCACAGGCGCTGAGCCTATACAAAACTATTTTTTATTTTAAAAGATACTTGCAATATTTCAGACAATTTATATTTTAAATCTATCTAACAATTAGCTTTCTGATCCCAATTTAAAATGTATAAATGAGGTTAGGCACAGTGGCTCACACCTGTAATCCTAGAACTCTGGGAGGCTGAAGTAGGAGGATTGTGTGAGGCTAGGAGTTTGAAATCAGCCTGAGCAAATATGAGACCTTGTCTCTACAAAAAAATAGAAAAATTAGCCAGGTATAGTGACACATGCCTGTAGTACCACCTATGAGGGAGGCTGAGGCAGGAGGATTGTTTGAGCCTAGGAGTTTGAGGTGGCAGTGAACTTAATACCACTGCACTCTAACCTGGGCAATAGAGTAAGACCCTGTCTCAATAAATAAGTAAATTCATAAATAAATAATATGTGTAACTGAGAAATTCATCTTAACTATTTGCCTTTTTAACTGAAAGGAAGGAGGAAGTAAATTTTACTAGGTTTATAAACAGTATTAGAAACTTAAAAGGCTTTAAGTTTAATTGATTAGAATTACTGGACATGCTTAAGTACTTGTGAAGTTTTTATTGGAGCAACTAAAATGCTAAAGAAATCAGATCAAATGTTTAAGGTAAATTATGTTTGTTAAGAGACTGATTCTTGGCTTGGCATCTGTAGCTCAGCAGCTAGGGCACCACCCACATACACTGGAGCTAGTGGGTTTGAACCCAGCCTGGGCCTGCCAAACAATGACAACTACAGTCAAAAAATAGCTGGGTATTGGGGCAGCACCTGTGGCTCAAAGGAATAGGGGGCCAGCCCCATATGCCAGAGGTGGGGCTGGCCCAGAGGTTCAAACCCAGCCCTGGCCAAAAAAATCTGTAAAAAACAAAATAACTGGGTAATGTGGTGGGCATTGTAGTCCCATCTACTTGGGAGGCTGAAGCAAGAGAATCGCTTAAGCCAAGAGATTGCCGTGAGCTCTGACGCCACAGCACTCTACTGACGGCAACATAGTGAGACTCTGTCTCAAAAAAGAGAGACTGATTCTTTTCTTTTAACTTCAGATTAATATGAGGTTACAAACAATTAAGTTACATTGTTTGTGCTGGGAGACTGATTCTTTAAAAGCATATCGCTTTTTCAACTTAAGTTGATTCAACATTAAGTTAAGAGCTCACTGAAAGCAACTTAAGTAGGTTTATAAATTTAATAGGATTACATAAATTAAACTTGAAGGTATAAGGCAAAACTTTTTTTTAATTTGCTATTTTAATAAATTAAATATTAACTTAAAAAACAGTAAATAGCCTCCTCTCTACTGAAAAACTTCCTTCAGTTATAACCTCACAGTAACAAGAAAATATAATAATATAGAGTTTTTTTGAGAAAGAGTCTCACTCTGCTGCCTAGGCTACAGTGCTCTGGGATCGGCCTAGCTCATAGCAATCTCAAATTTCTCAGTTGAAGCAATTCTCTTATCTCAGCATCCCAGGTAGCTGGGACAACAGGTGCATGCCACAACACCTGCCTAGTTTTCCTATTTTTAGTCAAGACCCTCTTGTTCAGACTGGTCTCAAACTTCTCAGCTCAAGTGATCCTCCTGCCTCAGCCTCCCAGAATGCTAGGATTACAAGTGTGAGCTACAGTGCCTATCCAGAATATAGAGCTCTTTAACTGTTAGATATGGAGTGTGGACTTCATTTAGGAGGTCACAGATGTCAACATGTCCTATATAATATTATCAACCAACTGTAATAAAGTTCTTTTTAAAAATTATTAATAGTAAGAGAGACCTTCGAATGGTTAGAACATGAAAAAGCCTAGTTCATGTATGACTCCACTTTCTAGCTGTGAGACCCTTGGGCAAGCTGCTTTATCTCTCTGGGCCTCAGTTTCATTATTAGTAAAATAAAAACAGTACCTGATTAGTAGGAGAGTTATATAAACTTATATAAGCTGATAACTTTTAAAGTATTATGCCTAGCACACAATAAGTACTTGATAAGTTTTGTTATCAAAACAAATTAAATATTTACTAAACTATTTTTATAATACACAAATTAACCACTATGACATGAAAATCATTTAAAAATTTGTCCTCACATCATGTCAGTATACAGACACATCCAACATTTTGTCATCTATAGTTTATTAATATTTAATCAAAAGGCAGGAATCTAGCTCTCAGACTCCAGGGTCAACTGCTTTGCACTTACTTTGTTTCCTAAGTGAGTGATCTTCAGAATTCCATCTTGCCACACCTTTGACTTCTTCGTCTTTTGGTGAGTATATAGGACCTTATTTCCAAAAGTAAAGAAACAACTGCTATTTACATATATTCAATGTATTATGTATATCTTCCCTACATAGAAAAAATATTCAAGGTATCTTTTATCAAAATAAAAAAGGAAGGGAGGGAAGGAGAAACAGAGGAAACTAGGTAGGAAGGGGCAGAAGGGAGAAGGTAAAGGAAAAAACTAAAAAGTTAACTAAGCACCAAAAATAATCTTGAACTTCCTACTCATCACAGGGTATAGAAACATTTTTGGTATTCATAATCTGTACCATTCTCAGTGTGGTCTCCAAGGCTTTTACACATATCTGTGAGGTGTAAACTATTTTCTCAGCAGATATGAGAGTCCAACTGTCTTCTATTAAGTCAAATGTAAAGAGATATGCAAACTATGCTATTCTTCTCATTTACTTCCTGCCCTTGTTGTTGTTTAGGTAAAATTAGCTATTTTCATTAAAAATGTGTATTTATACTAACAAGTAATGAGTTTATTACCACCCTATTCCCCAGAGCAGAGTGCAATGGCGTCATAGCTCACTACAACCTCAGACTCAGGCTGTGAGCAACCTGCTGCCTCAGCCTCCTGAAGCCACTGGGATTACAGGTGCTTGCAGTACCCAGCTGGATTTTTCATTTTAATGAGTCAGGGTCTCACTCTTACTCAGACAAATCTCGAACTCCTACACTCAAGTAATTCTCCCACCTCAGCCTCCCAAAGTGCTGGTATTACAGGAGTGAGCCACGGTGCCCAGCTGTTATTTTTAAATGAATCAATAAATATTTCTAAAATTTCTGTTTTAACTTTTAATATGGAAAACGTCAATAGACATAAGCCCTATATACAAAAGTTCTTTGTGGTCCCAATAATTTTTTAGAGTGTAAAAGGGCCCTGATGCCCAATTGTTTAAGAACCACTGAGCTAGACAAAAGAAGCATGTCAGTCCTTCAAAAGAAATTGTTTCCTGGTCTCAAGCTTCCAAGGAATGTGTTACAAAGGAAGGACTTCATATAAGAATAGTAGGTAAGAGAGAGGGTTACCTAATAAAATATAAAGCCATATATGGGACTTTTTTTTTTTGAAAGAGAGGCTCATTTGGTCACCCTTGGTAGAGTGCCGTGACATCATAGCTCACAACAACCTCAAACTCTTGGGCTTAAGTGATGCTCTTGCCTCGGCCTCCCAAGTAGCTGGGACTACAGATGCCTGCCACAACACCCAGCTATTTTTTAGAACCCGGCTCAGGCTGGTCTCCAACCTGTGAGTTCAGGCAATCCACCTGCCTCAGCCTCCCAAGTCCTGGGGTT